GGTATATTGATTTTTTTTTGGAACAAATCAACCAAAAAATTAAATTAAAAAATATATCATAAAATGATAAAATTAGGTTAAATTCAGGTAATTAATATTCCTATTTTGCAGCGTTGAAATTAGGTTTCGTTTATTATTAATTACCACTTTCGTACTTGCCCATTTAATTGTGAATTTATCGGTACATTGTGACTGATGAATCGACAAATTACTGCATGGGAAAGTGGGCAATTATCAAAGGTCATTAATGGAAGAGTGATGGTTTCACAAGTTCTATTCAATGAAAGTAACCATAAACTTTTCAATGAGCCTGCAGTTTCTTCTGATACTACTTATCAATCAGATATTTTTTGGGGACAATACTCATGATGTCTATTTATTGGTAGAGTCTGAATTATTATTTGAAGTAATTAGAATTCAAATTTTTATAATTTTAAATATAAAAAATATTCATAAAATTTTTTATGATTTTATAATATATAAGAGGGCAAAATTTAAAAAATTTAAAAATTATTAAAAAATACTTAAAATCGAATCCCAATTTTATTAGAAAACATCTCTTAAAAATTTTTGAACTTCTTGAACAACTTACGACTTTAAAATTTTCAAGTAAGATATATACTTATGCTTTTATAGTATAAAAATCCTTTAATAAATCGGATTAAATACTTAATAAATTATTTATTAACTACAAAATAAACCAAATTATTTATTAAAATTTCCATTTAGTGTCTCAAATAATCATTTTATATTCACCTGGCACACCCACAATGTGGATGAAAAAAAAATTTATGTTTTAAAAGAAATATAAAGGTTATGTGATGAGTTTCATATAAAAGTTCATCTCGTACAGATATCATTTGTAATTCCATTTTGTGAATCGAATCTCACACTTCAAATCTTCAATACCAGAACTGGGCCTTGATAAAGTTTTCAGTATACAGCAGGCTTATCCAGGACTTGGCTGAGGTTTTAATTTCCAAGTCCAGGATATGATCTCATTTGGACCTCAAAATTTATTCAAGCTTGCTTCTAGATAGCCAATTTTAAATTATTGAATGGCCCAAATTCAGACTATTATCTTGAATACTTGAACTATTCTTTTTTGAAAATTTTAGAAATAAAAAACTTTACTTGCCACTTCTTAGTTCAATTCTATGGTTGATCCTCCTAAACTTAACTTGAACAGGGAAACAGTTTAGTAAGATTTAATCTTCTAGTGTTCATTTTGCAAAACAAAACAAGTTTGAGCTTTAATAAGTTGTTTTTAGAGGCAGTTTGAATTGGGGGATATTGTTGTTATTATTATTTTTTTTCATCTAGATTTCACTCACCTTACTACAACATTTCAAGCAACATTTTGATTTTGTTTATCTTGTTTTTCAAACTATCATGGTAGCTCTTTTATTCATTTTTGAAAGGAAGTTAAGGCTTAAAATTTTTGGAGGAAGAAATTTTTCTAATGTTATGGATCACAATTTCTTTTGTTCTTCTTGCATACTTTTGACTATCATTTGCAATTGTTAAAATAGTATTGTTTCATATTTATTAAATTTTAAAATTTTAGTGATTTTATATTTATTTTGAATATTTTTATTTATTGTTAATTGATTTTAAGTTGAATATTTAATATGATATTAAATTTTAAGTTCATGTATGTAATTTTTATCTTATACCTTTTTTAAGTTTGTCACATTATAATTACATGTTTCACATATGATAAATCTTAAGGTTTTTATTTTATATTTAAATCAGACTCTTATGTATTGCCAATTGCTTTTAAATTAAATATTTAATGTAAGACATTTTTTAGCCATTTGTGTTTATCTACTTATTTATTGCTAAGACAATTTTTTTTAAGCATGATGCACTGATAAAGTGATTTTTTTTTTCTTTTAGTGGTTAAAATGATATAGTGATTTTTTTTTTAACAAACTTTCAATAAACAATTAAAAATAATTTTGATATTTGTATCGATATGATATATTAAATTAATCTGATACATTCAGTATCACATAAGTTCAACACTATTTTTATTATTTTTTAATAATTTTTTATTATTTATCTATAAATATAAAAAAGCATCTTGAAGATAAATTTCTCGTACCCCTAATATTTTTTATTATTTTCTTTTTGTCTTCACTTATTTTTAATTTATGTATCAAAGTATAAACGTAAAAAATATTTTTTATTTTTGCCTCTATGTTTTTCTCTTCCATGAGCTCAATATAAACAATTAAAACAAAAGCTTGAGTCAAGACTCAAGACAAACAGAAACACTTTAATTTTCCCAAACCAACTTAAAAAAAAAAATCATAAAAGGTTATTTTCTACACAAATGGTATTCAAAGGAACAAACGAAAGAACGGTGAACGGACAAGCGCTGTGTTTTGCGGGTTATATTATAGCGTGTGCCAGAAATTCCTAACCAAATGAAAGGCAATTAAAGCAAGAGCCAAAATGTAACCAAACTACCGGAAATGCCATAATCGCTTTATGAGAATGGATGTGGACATTTCACCTGCCTTGCCTCCCTTAAAAGCTCGTCCTTTTGTTTCCCCAACCGACACCTTCCCCACGCGCCCATTCTGCAATTCCTCTGTAATATTATTGCCAAGTTCTTCGACCGCCAGGGAAAAACTAGTATTTAAGGTAGGGATGGGAAAAAAATTAAAAATTATAGTTTTGGTGTGATTTAGATTGATTTTTTTTATTTGGTTCGGATGAAATTTAAATATTAAATTTAATTTAATTTGGGATGTAAAAATTTTAAAAAAATTGAATTTAATGAAATTATATATTTTATTAATTTTTATATATATTTTAAAATTTTATAAATAAAAATAATTATTTTATATAAATTTATTTAAAGATATTAAAAATTTTATTAAAATAATATATAAAACATAATTAATGAACCAAATCAAATTGATAAAATTCAATTTGAATTGAATCAATTTAAAAAAATAATTGATTCAAATTTTAAAAATTTATAATATTATATTATCTAAAAAACTTGAATCAAATTTAATTCGATTCAAACCATTATCACTCATAATTTTAAGTAATTTTTTGTTAAAATAAACTAATTTAAAATAATTATTATATTTTTTACTTTTTTTTTCTGTCACATACTACTTTGCAATAAAAGAATACTTAAAACATGTGGTATGGAGTTAAAACATTACTATGTTAAATGGCATGTCATAAAAACACGAATAATTAGTGAAATCTTTGCCCTCTATCAATGTTATTTATTATCTTTTTAATACTGGTTTAAGGGTCTATTTTTCATATTTAATTGAAAATCTTAAAAATGATTTTGATGAAATTTATTGGATATTATTTTTAAAAAATAATCGTATAAATTAATTACTAATATTATCATCGCCTTTTTTATTTATCCTTTTTTCTATGAAAATTACGGTTGCTTTTACTTTGTGTACTTAGCTTGGAGAATTATGCTAAGGTTTTTTTTTTTTTTGAAAAAAGTTAAGTATTCAATTGCAGGTTAAAGCTATTGAATGATAAAAGGAAAATAACACAGAATCTGCTATAAGGTTACCATCTCATAATTACCCTTGTACAACTTGTCGAGTAGGTGAGGAAAACATTAGATGTTTGGTTATAACTTACCAAGGCTTGTGTTTGCTTTTCCAAGATTTATAACCGAAATTTTATTTATATACACATAAAGCATATATTATATAAATTAATTTATAACATAATTAAAGTTTTACAACCTCCCATTACCATGATTGAGAGGAAAATGATTTTATGTATATGATCCTTAATGTGTTATTTAATTAGTTGGTTTTCATTCTCGTGTTTTTATTTATTGGAGAATTTTATTATTTGATTTATTTATTTTTTTATGTTTTTAATTTCTTTTTAAACTCTTTTTATCTTGTTGTATATCTGATTCAAAAAAATATTATGCATTTAAATTTTTTTGAATTCACAATCTCTAAATATTAATTCTAATGATATGCTAATTATTCAAAGGAATAATCGACTGCTATTTAATTTATTAAGTATTAATTAAAAGATGAAAATTTATGATTGAGTTCGTTTTTTTTTAATTTTTTTTACCAACTATTTTTTAATTAATCCATTGTTGTTTTTTTAAAACAAAGTTTGATATTAATATTTATGAAAAAATTGTAAATAAAAATAAAACCTTAGAAAATATTGTAAAATCTCCAAATATTACTACTTTGGCAACCATCGTTGTTAACTTCAGGTTTCACCAATACATTTATAGGAGTAGTTTAGAAGGAACAAATAGTAGATAGAACAACACAACTAATTACCTAGGCAAGTCCAAAATCCAAATGCTGGCTGTCACTATCTTACAAAAGTTGTGCCATTTGGAAAAACATTACTTTTCAGCTACTTAGATCCCAAAGAATTTGCGAAAAATGTGTTCATTCTAATCAATTTTTAATTATAAAAAAAAAATTCAGATTCCCTTTGTCATTTTTGCATGTCAAATAGATTTAATTAGGACTATTCACCAAGATTAATCAAACTTGCAAATAGAGACTATCTAGGTAAAAAAAAAAAAATGAAATTCCATTCTTCTGTTTTATCATTTTTTTTTACATTTTTATATCATTAAATTGTTGAAGTGCTACAAATCTGAAATAACAAATGTTAAAATGGAAAATTATATGTAAAAAAAAAATCAAATGAAAAATTATTTTTTAAAATAAAATTTAATTAATCCTAACAAATATGGCAACTCCACCCTAGTTTTTTCTTATTACTTTCTGAATTGGGGAATAAAATAATAGTAGTTTTAATTTTTTCCGTTGACAAAAGTCAACTGAACCAAATAAAAAACAAAAAAGAAACATGTGCCTTTATGTCAAAACAAAGGAGGGAAAAGGAAAGCTGAACTGCACGCACTGAAGCTGCGTGTGCACAAAGTTGATAACCAAAGGGGAGTTCTTTAAGTAATCTTTCTCTCATTTCCTTCCTCTGCTCTGCTGCTGCCTTCTTGATATTATTATTAGTACTTCCCTTCCTCTTTCTTTCTCTCTTTCTCTTTGTCTGGTAACAGAGGCAGAAGGGGCAGATGAGTCGCCTAGCACCATTATCTGAAGAACCCATAAACGAAGAAGACTCTGCAAACTGTTCAAAGAAAGGCTTGTCATGGAAAAACTGGCTCAAAACTCATTTCTCCCTTGTGTTTAACAAGAAGTCTGACCTTAAGATCCTGTTGAGCGTTTTGGGTTGCCCTCTTTTCCCTGTTTCAATCCTTTCTAAACCACCCATCAATGAGGTAAGCAAATGTGGTCATGTTTTTGCTTTTAAATACATTTTATCTTCTCTGTTTTGTTTACTAACTATTTCTTGTGAATGAAGTTTACCGGTATTTGGATCACTTGATATTAGATCCATGTATTGAGGTTTAGACTCGTCGGAGCTTGTTTTTCTGGGTCTTTTTTTTATTGTTTTTAAGACGAAAAGTTAAAAAGAAGTAGTATTTATTTATTTTTTTAATTGGGAATCTATGAAAAGCAACCAATGGCTTTTTGATAAAGTGTTACTGCCGAAGAGAACAAGGTTGGGTTGGTATCCTTAGTGCCTCACCACTGATCTGGCCTGAAGTCCCCACTGGCCTCCCACCATGAAAGCATAAAAAAAATAAAGTAGCATTTTCTGTGGGTCCATTTTTTTTTTTATATAAAAGTTGAGTTTGTGTAAAAAGCTAGGAGATCTAATAAATTAGAAAGTCCTTATTGATTTTTTTTTTCCTCAAAATGAGCACACTTTCAAGATGGAATTACTTATATCAAATTGGTTGGGTCTTGATCCTTTCAATCATCTTTTAAAGGATGTTTTCCTAGGAATCATGGTTGAATAGTATCCAAATGCCTTTGTCCTCCTCTAATTTATTGCCTTCTTTTTAAGGATGGACCCATTGAATTGTCATGTTAGATGGTTTGATAGAGTCTAGGCTTTCAAGCATATTTTGTTTGATTTTAATGAACAATAAGGTTCCAAAATTGTTGGGCCAAAGAAAATGAAAAACAAAGCAGTACTGATAACTGAGTTTATCTTTGGTCTTTTGCTTTTTTTTAGGTTGGTATTAGTTGAATCTAATACTCCATATGTAGCAGATAGTTCGTCTTTCTCGATAACTTGAAATTGAAAATTTCAGATTCAACTTAAAGAACCATCTTTAATTAAGAACCAAAAAGTGTTGTGCATAGCAGGTATCTTCCTCAGCACAGTACATTATACAACATTTCACAGCAGCAACAGGATGCCGGAAATCAGAAGGGAGAGTAAAGAACATTTTTGTGACAGGAAAAGTAACAATGGCAATGGTAGATGAGCTAGGTGCCACAGCAAGCTTAGTGGCTGGATCTGCTGAAGTTGCAAAAAAAGGTTGTTTTGTTATGTGGCAAATGGTTCCTAATAAATGGCTGATTGAACTGGTTGTGGGTGGTCACAAGGTTGTAGCAGGTAGTGATGGCAATGTGGCTTGGCGCCGCACACCTTGGCTAGGAGCACATGCAGCCAAAGGTGGTGTTCGTCCTTTAAGGCGGACTCTTCAGGCAAGTAACCTTTGTTAGATTTAGTTATCTGCGAATCATTGTTATAATTGCATGTTCTTTTTCCATGGCTTCCCATTGCTATAGCAATTAGTGGTTTCATTTCTTAGCTTAAACTATTATTGGTCCCATTTGTTGGTATAAACAATTATTGGGGCACGTTTCCTCACTTTTTAATAATTTCTGAGCTAACTTAGATCTATGCTATCTTGACTTGTGTGACTGTTTAGGTGTAGTGGGGTGGGGGTGAATTACCGTGCATGAGAATATGAGATCAGTTTATTGATGATATTTTGATGACTTGACTTGTTTCCACTAAACCAAAAGCCTAATATTTTTTAATCCACCTGCAAAATATGACTGTTGAATTCATAGTATGAAGCGCATAAGACACTTGGTCTATGTTAATGTCTAATATACTCTTGTATGTGGGGATGTTAATTAGAGATTAATCCACTTTTGGAGTCTTGTTTTCCTTACAGACAGCCTGGCTGATCCTGTTTTCATCTGTAATAAATCTTACCTTAAAGTAGATTTTTATTCTGTAACTGATTCTACCTTAAAATTAGATCCAACAACCCAAGATGTCGGAAATTGTTTCCCTGACACATTCTAGGATATGATCAAATCAGTAAAAATCATTATGCCATTTTTAGAAAAGAATAGTGAAACAGTGAAAGTTGAATGTCTGAGACTAGAATTGGTTATTACCCCATGGGTTTCCTATCATTACTTCTGAACATTGACCAATATTTTCCAGCTTTCAATTATGAAAAATCAAAACACATTTAGCTTTCAAAAGTAAAAAATGTGCTTTTGACTACCAACAACCAATACATAATTGTTTCTTTTATAAGTAGATGGTCCCATTTTATAATCAATATCAAATAATTCATGTAGGGACTAGATCCTATGGCAATATCAGCAGTGTTTTCCTCAGCTCAGTACACGGGAGAGAAACGAATCTCTGGCACTGATTGCTTTGTGTTGAAACTATCTGCTGATCAAGTGGACCTGGCTGATAGGAGTGATAACACCGCAGAGATGATCAAGCATGTTATATTTGGCTACTTCTGCCAAAGAAGTGGGCTGCTTGTGTTTCTAGAGGACTCTTATTTGACGAGAATTCAATCACCTGGAACCTACCCTACATATTGGGAAACCTCAATGGCCACGAAAATTGAAGATTATAAGATAGTGGAAGGTGTCATGATTGCACATTCTGGTCAATCAAGTGTTATCATCACAAGATTTGGGGACAATTTAAAGGCAGGCCTTTCTATAACTCGCATGGAGGAGATATGGACCATTGATGATGTTGCATTTAATGTCCCTGGCCTTTCCCTCGATTGCTTCATTCCTCCCAAAGAAGTTCAGAAAGATTATCCAAAGGAGAGTTTGGATTGGCGATCTCCTTTGCATCAATGATAATGGCTGATCTACATTGCTGCTAATTGCTTCATTGAAAGTCATTATGTCATTAACTTTGACTGGAGTAGGCACTCATGTGTATATAAAACACATTAAATATATATATTTTTGTGTTTAGAACTCATAGAAGGCTTTGATATTCATTTAACTGATTATGGAATCATTTTGTATCACTTAAAGTGTATTTGTGCAATTCATAGTACTTTTGTAATCCTCGGATCTTTACAAAATTTTGAGAAATACTACTCTATTGTTTTGTATCAATGAAGTATCAAGGAATAAGCTGTATATACTTTGTATGTTACTGACCACTTCACTGTTATTATGTTTCCCACAATTAAAATCATTGGAAAAAGAGTTTAGATCTGAGGAAAGCATCAGTTTCAATTTTTCATCGTCATATGATAGATGGGGCGAGAGATAACAGTAGATGTTTTCATACTTGTTCATTCATGCACACAAAAAGAAATGGCAATGTTGCAGCACATAAGTTAGCTAGGCATGGGATAGGGATTGATGAGGACATGTATTGGGTAGAGGATTTTCCTTCATTTCTCCATGGCTTTGTGTTTGATTACTCAAATGGTTTCATTAATGAATGATTAAGAATGTTTAGCTTAAAAATTTTTTCTTCCTTTTATATATGCACCAAACATAAGATTACATGATAATCATTCAATCTTATTTATAATTCTATTAATGATACGAAAAAATAATATAAATGGGATATGGTTTAAAATTTTAAAATAGTTATATATAAATTTAACAAAATAAAAAATATATTTGATGTTTTTGTGAAGATACAAATTATGATATGTAATTTTTATGTAAAATATGTCACGAATATAAACCAACATATAGTCAAAGATTAATGTTATTAATGATTTTTGAATTGTATTGAAATATTAAATGTGATATTTAAACTTTAAAAATCTTCAATGTTATTTGAACTATAAATCTATTAATTAATATGATATTTAGATGACTTTTTATTTGGTATCGTATAAAGTTAACTACATTGAATGTGAGCATGACATTAATTAATAAATTCATAATATAAACATAATATTAGAGATTTTTAAAATCCAAATATTATATTAATGTTGCATTATAATTCATTGCCATTCGTAACATTGGTAAAGCATAATTCACATGCATAAATCAAAGAAGATGAAAAATAAAGAACTCCCGCCATCTTCTTAGGTCCTCAGGAGAAGTGTGATTGTTGAAAGAAATGGCATAAAGAGAGCCTTTGCATGAAAACTCTCTTCAAGTAAGATCAAAAGAATATTAAACTATATGCCTAATTCTCATCTCCTTCTCCCCTTAAATTCACCCCATTGTTCTTGCTCTTTTTAATGCTCCTTTCAATCTATTCTTATGATTCCAAACCAAGCTATTTCTGTTTTTGTTTTTCTTCTTATAGACTAGTGCTAAGTTGTTAAGCCAACCATTTTGTTTTAACTACCAAAATTGCTTTAATTTGTTGATCATATTTTTCCTTCTTCTCGACTTCTATTTTTCTTGGAACCTGATGGGAGCCTTGTCCCTCAATTCTTTCTCTGTTGCACGAAGCAAAGTTGCAAGAGTTTCCAATAAATTAAACACCATTTTTGTGCATTGCCAGGGAAGAGGCAATGCCATAAAGACTAGCGGGGTTTCTTCAGTTTTGAGAGAGAGATAAAAAATGGTTAATGCTGATCGTAGTACTGCTGTCAAGGATGCAGGAACCTTAATTGTGTCTCCAAATCCAAATGGGAATAGTCGGGCAGATATTGCAGTTAAAGATTTGGTGCCTTACGGAGGATCAACTGCTTCTTTAATGGAGTTGCAACAGGGCATTGGCATTGTTAAGTTTCTTAGAGGGAAAGAGTTTTTCATTACTGGTTCAACTGGGTTTCTTGCCAAAGGTATGTTTTTCTACTCATCATTTGCATTCTACTTTCATAACTTCATGTTTTTAGATGACATTTTTTTACCAGAAAACTATGTACTATAATCTTCTCAAGAAAGCATTTTATTCATTCAATCTTCTTATTATATTAATTATATGCAGTTCTTATTGAGAAGATTTTAAGAGCTGTGCCTGATGTGGGGAAGATATTTCTCTTGATCAAGGCCAAAAACAAAGAAGCTGCAATGGAAAGATTGAAAAGTGAAGTAGGTTATGTATAATTGTGTCTTTTGTTGCTTATGCATGATTGATTCTCACATGTTTGAACGATTTTTCCTGGTATTGAGTCAAATTTTAGTTCTTTTTGTTTTGTTTTAGATCATAAATGCAGAGCTTTTCAAGTGTCTAAAACAAACATATGGAAATAGCTACCAAAGTTTCATGTTGAGCAAACTGGTCCCTGTTGTAGGAAACGTGTGTGAACCTGATCTTGGATTGGAGGGTGATTCAGCTGATGTGATTGAAAAAGAAGTTGACATAATTGTGAATTCTGCAGCTAATACAGCTTTTGATGAAAGGTTATGGTTTTTTTCATCTGATCTCTAAGATTGTGGAACTGTTAAGAATAAGATCATTACCACAGAAAATTTAATTAAATAGTTGTCATTATTGAATTCGCAGATATGATGTTGCCATAGGTATAAATACAAAAGGGGCATGCCACCTCATGACTTTTGCCAAGAAGTGCAAGAAACTTAAACTCTATTTACAAGTATCAACAAGCAAGTATCAAAACCAAAATATGATCAAAACTCGTGATTTGAGGAAATTTTCTTCAAGAACAATTGATTTCTAGTGTCAATTTGGACATCTAGTTCTTTGTGGATAAGCAGATTTGTTCTATTTCATGTGCAGCATATGTTAATGGCCAAAGGCAAGGAAGAATTATGGAAAACCCATTCAACATAGGAGACTGCATTGCAAGGGAAAATTTAATCTCTGAAACTACTGCAACATCCATGCTTGAGTTAGACGTTGAAGATGAGTTAGTACTGGCTCAAAATTCCAAACATACTGGCTCAAAATTCCAAACAAGGTTTTGATGAAAGTGAAGTGGCTCAGAAAATGAACGAATTGGGTTAGAAAGGTGAGAATTCTCATTCTCTTATTTTCTGTTTTTCCTTTGTGAACTGTGATTAATGAAAGCTTTCTGTTTCCAATATGACAAAGAAATGGGGCTTTAATCAAAATATTGACATGATGATGACTAATTACCTGATTCAGGGCTAGAACTTTGGATGTCAAACACATTCGTGTTCACAAAGGGCTACGGGAGAAATGATGATCAAAAACATGAGAGGAGAAATACCATTAGTGATAATTCGACCTAGTGTTATTGAAAGCACCTGCAAAGAAACCATTCCCAGGATGGATGGAGGGCAATAGGTATCTCTTATTTGACTTTTTACATGATGCAATTATTTCTGACAAAATTTGAGATACTCTTTTCTTTGTCTGTTAGGATGATGGGATCCAATAGTATTATGCTATGGGAAAGGGCAGCTAACTGGTTTCCTGGTTGATCCAAATGGAGTACTTGATGTTGTACGTAATTGTTGTCAATGTCATACATCATTTTTGTACTCTAGTGTTTGATGAATTAACATTGGAAAAACATCCATCCCCCACATTTTATTTCAAACTCATGAATCTTATTGCATTCTTGCCATGGCGGATTACAGGTTCCAGCAGACATGGTTGTCAATGCAACCTTGGCAACCATTGCGACACATGGAATGACTCCAAACCAGATATTAACATCTACCACATTGCATCATCAGTTTTAAATCCACTGGTTTTCCAGGATTTAGCCAGATTGCTCCATGAACACTACAATTCCTCACCTTTTCTGGACTCGAAGGGTTGCCCAATCCATGTTCGATCAATGAAGCTGTTCAACTCCATGGAGGATTTCTCTGCTCACCTCTGGAGAGATGCTTTTCATAGAACTGGATTGACAGCGGTCGCATCTTGGAGCGGAAAACTGTCTCAGAAGCTTCAAACAATACGCAGGAAGTCAGGAGCAAGCAAAGTACTTGGCTAATATATATGAGCCATACACATTCTATGGTGGAAGGTAAGTCAATTGTGGCCTTAATCACTGTTCGGTCATGGATTACATTCCCCTGCAATCTTCAAATAAAAACTGACATAGATGAATATCAAATCAACAACTGTCAGGTTTGACAACAGCAACACTGAGAGACTAATGGAGATCATGTCCGAAGAAGAGAAGAGGAACTTTGGATTTGATGTGGAAAGCATAGATTGGAAAGATTATATAAAAAATGTCCACATTCCTGGTTTAAGAAGACATGTTATGAAGGGTAGAGGGATGTGTTCTTCACCTATTAGCTAGATCTTGCACTAATTATGTATGCAATAAATGTTTTCTAAATGTTACAAACACCAAACAAGGCAGAGAAGTTTTGCCTTCTTATTTGTGATATAATTAACTCTCATGAGGGTTTTATAAGTAAAGTTTTATAGGAGTTTTACAATTTAAATTTTTTAATCTCCGGCTATGAAATACATCAAATTCGGTAAACCCTAAATTGTACGTCCAAACACATCGAATCTGATAAATACTAATATCAGAACAAAAATAATACGTTTACTAATACAATATGGACTACTTTGATTCATACCAAAAAAGAAAGAATTTATTTTGCAAGATTGATTTGATTACAAATTATGTTACCTAATTTGGAAACCAAGAAGCAAAGATCAACATTTGGATTAAAGAAACAATTAAAATAAAAAAATAAAGATTAACTCTATTATTTATTCCATTCAATTAATTATCAAATAAACATTTTTATACGAAACTGTTCACTTATATGATGCATATACTTCAACATAAAATTATAGCTAAAAAACATAAAAGCCACTAATTAAGTATGCATCATACATGACCAAAGAACAGCACGCTTAGGGTCCATTTAGAGCTCAATTTGAAGACTTTCACCGTATTGAAAGATGTGTTTTATGATTGAGATCTTCCGTACGTGAAAGCCCCACAATCGGCTGCCAAATGGACCGTTATTCAACAACAATATTATTAATTAACAGAGCTACGACTTTGTCCTGTAATGGTGTGAAACTTTGATTTTTTTTTTTCTTGGATGATTGAATTTCCATTCATATCCAAAGAAGCAGGGAAAATCCTTACATGAAACTTATTGAGGATTTGGAGAGGCAAATGCAAGGAACTCGGGATGATTTTCCAGTATAGCCATATTTTTTTTCTCTAAAGTAATCCATGCTTCTATTGCCTTGCTTTGCACAATCTCTTTGAGAAAGGTGGTTTTAGCATGCCCACTGCTGCTTCTCCCTGGGACACCAAGCAAACTTGGGTTTCCCCATCCAAAGTCAACTTCTTGAAACCCAAAA